ATTCTCATTTGCAAAAAAAGTACCAATACTTTTCCTCCCTCCTAAATAGGTACATAGTTCCTGTTGATGTCACATTTCATAAAAAATACACCTCATTCTTTGTAGACTCATCGGTGTATATATCCTCTCAAGATTTTGATGAGTTATTAATGCTTTACATCATCGGTTCAAAACTCAATCCAGCTCTACCTCCACCACCAGTGGCTCAACCTAGGCCATTTATCACAAATGGTTACTCTAGAAGACCTCATTCCCCTGATACTAATCTGACACCAGTATCATCTTGAATAATGAACCACCTCGACCCATAATCTGTTCTAGCACCTTATCTCTGTTTGAAGTCCATTGTCGACTAAGGCACCCACCACGACCCATGCCAAAACAGTTATACCATCAATTTCAACAATTATCATCTTTAAATTGTAAGTTGTGTCAATTTGCTAAATATCATTGTTTTTCTTCTGTTCTCATTGTTCTCAGAATAAATAAAAGAGTTAATCATAGTTTTGTGTTGGTTCATTATGATGTATGAGAATCTTACTTAGTTTATCTAATAGATTTCAATAATTTATCATTTTTGTGAGTATTTTTTCTTGTATGACTTGGTTTTACTTTATAAAATCTCGTACTAGATTACTGTCATATTTTCAATCTTTTTCTGCTGAAATTAAATTCCAATTGAATATTTCTATTAAGATTCTAAGAGGTGACAATGACAAAATATTTATCTACACATTTTTATACATATATGACACAAAATGGGATGCTTCACCAATCTTCCTGCTGAGTCGATACTCCATCCCAAAATAGAATAGTCGAAAGAAAAATAAACATGTTCTTAAGACAGCTAGCGCTCATTTTTTTCAGAATAATGTGTCCAAATAATTCAGGGATGATGCAGTTTCTACTGCATAATTTTTTATCAATCGGATGTCTTCAACATACCTAACAAGATATATTTCTAACCAAATCTCCCTTTCCCATTGAACCATGCGCATTTGGGTGTACTTGTTTTGTTAGCGATACTCATTGACAGGTTAAGGTGTGTCTTTCTAGGATACTCTTGTTTGCAAAAGGGTATCAATATTTTATTGAACAAGATACCCTACCAAGTTTAATTTCCAACAAAATCTCTCTTTCTCATGAATCATGTATATTTGGATGTACTTGTTTTGTTTGTGATACTTATCAACATGTTTATAAACTAGATACTAAGTAATTAAGGTGGGTATTTCTAGGAAACTCTCATTTACAAAAAGGATATCAATATTTTTTCCCCTTCTAAATAGATACATAGTTTTTGTTGATGCCACATTTCATAAAAAAACTAATTATTTGGTAACTCATCGGTGGCTAAATCCTCCCAAGATTTTGATGAATTATTAATGTATCACTTCATCAATTCAGATCTCGCTCCAACTCCACCTCCACAACTAGTGTGTCAACCTAGACCACTTTTATCACTAATGTTTACCCTAGAATACCTCATTCCCCTGATCTTAATCTGGCATCGGTATCATCTTCGTCAGCAGATCCCTTGATGACCTTGATATACATATTGTTTTTCGAAGAGGTAAACATCAATGCTTCTATCTAATTTCCTCATTTGTTAATTATAATCAGTCAGCTTCTACTTCTTCCTCTCTTATTGCTTCCCTCGACTTTGTTGAGGTCACGAAATACGATCAACAAGCCGCATCTTAGTATGGGTGGCAGGTTGCGATGCTTGATAAGATGAATGTCTTAATTGAAAATGACACTTGGGAACTAGTTCAACCATCTTCTGACAAGAAGGTTGCTGGTTGTAGAAGGGTATTTGTAGTTAATTTTCATTCTGATGGATCTATAGCTCGTCTTAAAGCTGGTTGGTTGCTAAGAGGTAAGCTTAAATTTATGGGATTGACTACTGGGACACGTTCTCTCTAGTAGCTAAGCTGACTTTGATTTGTAAGTTTATGTCCTTGGCCGTTATGAATAACTGGTCCCACCAGCTTGATGTAAAGAATGAATTTATGTATGATGATCATTTAGAAGAGGTATACGTGGATCAAACTCCTGGATTTGTTGCTCAGGAGGTGTCTAGGAAAGTACGTCTTCTTTGGAAGTCATTATTTGGATTGAAGCAAAGTCTTTGGGCACGGTTTGAAAAATTTAGCCAAGCTATAGAAGAGTTTATGACGCAAAAAAAGTAAAAGTTCTCACACTGTGTTCTGCAGGTAATCTGCTTATGGGATCATTTTATTGATGGTGTATGTTGATGACATGTTTATTACTAAAAGCGATATGCAGGGACCGTCATCATTAAATAATTTCTTCAAAATCAGTTCAACACTAAAGGTCTGCATTCCTTAAAATATTTCTTGGGGATTGGGGCATCAAAAAGCAAGAAGGGTATCTTTCTATTTTAATGCAAGTATGGTTTTGGATTTATTAACAGAAACTAAAAAATTAGGGGTCAAATCATGCAATATTTCGATGCTTCATAATCAACAACTTGCCAAAGATAGAGAGCATTTTATTGACCACAACGATATAAGAATTTAGTGCAAAAATTAAATTACCTCACAGTGACTCGTCCTGACATTGCTTATTCAGTCAGTTCATGTATGCTCCCATAGTCCATCATTTGTCAGTTTTAGAACAAATATTATGTTATCTCTAAGGAGCTCCTCAACAAGATATTTGATATCAAAATAATGGGCATAAAAATATTGAATGTTTCTCTAATATAGATTAGATAAGTTTTAAGATTGATTAAGGATTCATTACTACATAGTATGTTTTTGTTGGTGATAATTTGATCTAATTGGAGAGTAGAAAATAGAATGTAGTGTCACGATCCACTGCAGATATTGAGTATCGAGACATGATACGAGTTTCACATGAATTGATGTGGATTTCTGAATTGTTGATCGAAATAGGTTTTAAGATGGTAGTTCCAGCAAAAACTGTTGCATAAAAATCAAGCTGCAATTCCTATTGCTTCAAAAATTTTCTTCCATGAACGAACTAAGCACTTTAAGATAGACTGTCATTTTGTCCGTGAAATGATTCAGCAAAATTTTATGTCTACAACCCATGTAAAAACTGAGGAACAACTTCACAAAGACCCTTAATGGAGTTAGAACCACTTATATTTGAAACGAGTTGTGCATAATAAATATCTATGCTCAAACTTGAGGAAGAGTTTTATGAAAATTAATAGATCTCATGGTTGTAAATTAGGAAGCTTGTATATTAGAAAAGTTGATTATAGAAAATATAATAAATAGACAATCTAATTAGAGGAGATCAAATATTTTCTTTATGAGAGATATTCCTAATCTATGGAAATTGAAGTGTATATAAATATGTAAGATATGTTTTCAATTGATGAATAAAAGTAAAAGATAATTTTCCTTCACAAAAAAATAAACAACAAATTCCACAAGTTTTAAAGTTTTAAGTTGTT